ACACACACACACACACACACACACACACACACACACACACACACACACCCCTGTACACATCTGCCCTGGTCCATCGGAGCCCTAAAGGTGCTACACACACACATGCACGCGCACACACCCTGGTCCATTGAAGCCCTAAAGTCAGTGTGCTGTCTATTTGGCATCCTAACTAACAATTGAGAGTAGGCTATAAGGGGAGATTGTCAATATTTTGTGTGGCAAGAAAAGCCACAGTCATTTTGTCTTTGCACTTTGGATGCTGAAATCTTCTTGTGTAACATAGCCACATCTAGATAAATATGAGCTTGTTCTATTAAAATTATTTCCAATGTCTATAAAAATGCTTTCTTCTATAGAATGTTTCTGACCCATATTGACCCTTGTCTGTAAAACACATATTTGGAATAATATTTGGCAAAAAGTAAATAGTTTTTTCAAAATGAATGTGAGGTTGGTTTTCTTGTCCTGGAAGGTAGTAACCTTCCGTGCCTTTTTTTTAAAGAAACTATTTTCCCTCAAAGTGTTTTGAGTTTATCGTTCACCTCTAATCTCTCACTCCACCCAAACTTGATCACCTCCAGGAGTTTATTTTTGTTTCTCAGCCTTTTTCATTGTCCAAAATGAAGTTCTAGATTTGTCCCTATGACTGTTATCCTCTCATTTGAAGAAACTACTTTAAACAAAAAACCAAACTTTTAAACAAGTCTTTAGGGACCAGAATGGTGCAGATTTAAAAAAAGAAAAAATGACTCTGGCTGGCTGCCTGCCTGGAAGGAACATCCTTCACTGCTGGAAGTGACTCTGGAGTGAGCTGGGATGATTAACCGAGGGCACCTGCACTTGGAACTCTGAAGCTGGCGAACAGAATGTATCTGAGATTGAACGTAAACAGTTGCAGGCTTAATATGGAACTGCGGAGAGAGGAAGCAACCTACTGGCTTTTTTCCCAGGAGGGGGCAGTTCTCACAGCAGGGCCCATCTGCCTCAGCAAATTGACAGAGGATGGGTCCCATCTCCCCTCCCCCCTTTACACACACATACACATACACACACGCCTGTTAGGTTTTGTTATTTTAAACTTTGTCCTAGATGCTATCTCTCTTACGTCTCTGCAAGCCTAGTGTTGGCCTGGCTCCACATTTGCTGTTCTGTAGTATGTCCCCAAGGTGCATTTTAAGTCACTAATGTAGAGAAAGTAAATGGATTGTATAATGTTAGTGAAGGCAAGACTTCCCTATGCAGGAACTGATGGCCCATTAACGAAAAAGGAAATGGTCCTATGTGTCAAGTGTTGGCAGCCAGTTGCTTAGTTTTGGGCTAGGCCAAGAGACCTTAGCCATGAAAATAATTCTGATATTAGCAAAGGGAAATACGTCCCCACCTTCAACTTCTTTTAACAGCCCTTCAGTGGAACAGCATGACTTTCGAGGGCTTTCTTAATTATATTATACCTCCTTGTATGAGATCTGTGGAAAGGGTCCAGTGCCTTGGGGTGGCTGTCACCCCAGCCTCTGGCTTCTGACCCTTTCTGATGCTGCCTCTTCCTCTTCTTTTAATGTAGTTTAACTTTACTGTCCCACTTGCTAATAATCAGAATCTTTAAATCCTTTCTTCGTCAATCTATGTAAGACTCCTACGTTTGATGTTTATTTGACTGGGCAAGCATTACATGGTTTGATTCAGCAGCAACAGTTTACATTTATTACTGGGTGTTTAATGATTTCTCCTTCCTTTGGAGGGTGAATTCATTGCTTGCAGAAATAGAAGGCAAGAAGGCATCTGAGTTTTGATCAGAAGACTATAGGGTGCTCAATTGATTTACCGTGGCAAAAAGTCATTTTTTAGCTATGAACTGAACCTGTGGCATTGAAAGGGGTCTTGAATTCTTATATTCAAGCTTAAATTATTGGGTAGCACAAAGTGACAAGTAGTGCTGAGCGTTGCAAGGAGCAAAGACACCAGGCTTGCTGTTTTTTTGTTCCAGCAGGGCCTCCCTACCCACCTAAAGTTTCAGATAGACACACACACACACATACATACATACATACATACATACATACATACATACAGTATATGATTTCCTATTGGAAAAGCATTTGGGAGACCCACTGCTGTGCCTGGTACACCGAGCGCTTTGCTTAATCATGCATCACCTTTTCTTAGGCTCTCAGCATGAGGAGGGACAGCTGTTGTGTAGTCCAGATCTGAGAAACAAGAGTGGCACAGGGTTTAGTGTTCAAGTTGGCCCAGCTCACACAGTAGGTTCTTGATAATGTTCTCTGATAGTCTTGGTCATGACTCAAGCTGTAGCCACTGGTGCGAAAAGCTTTTTAAGTGCTCAGGGTCGGGGCATGTTAGTCATTGTGCTTTTAGTATAAACAGGGTTTGGAGAATGGCCACTGAACCTAAGAGTTTAATTTTTATTAAATCTGCTCCCTGTAGCTGGTATATTTTGTAAATAAGTGAAGGCCCCAGGTCAGGAGTTCCTTAACTTGTGTAATTTATTAGCCTCTGGTTCTCAGAATCTGTATTTGTTGATGGTTTCTATTCACGAAGTCAGGCAGAAGACAGCTTGATATCACCAGGAATAACCTCGTAGTGTGTGGGAGCCTTCTCTGCAGTCATGTGGGATGGGAAAGGAGGACACTTTTCAGGCACTCAGAGAGTTGGAAGCAGGAATTTTTCCTTTTGTCTACCTTCTCCCTCTATAGCTTCGTAGTTGCATTGTTTTTATATAGCATTATTCTCATAGCTCACCTAGCTGGACACCATCTGTGTGCTAGGCTCAGACACGTGTAAATGGATATTTAAACTAATAATAAAGTACTTGCCAGTTCATATCTTCTCTGGTCATCAGTGAAGACGGACTTAGGAACCGATTCCCTACAGAGCCTCTAGAAAAAGTAATATGGTGATTTACAATATACAGAGTGCTTTCATTTGTCATCTTACTTGACCTCACCACACATGTTCAGTGGGCAGGATAGGTGATGTCATCCCAACTGACAAATTCAGAAAGTTGATTTGGCTCAAATTCCCACAAACTAATTATAGTTTAGCTGGGATTAGAACCCCAGGGATGTAGTTCCACTCTAGAGGTCAGCTGTGGCGCTTGCTATTTCAGATTTTTTCAGCATCGTGGGCTTGTTAGTATATTAGGTACATAAATGGTTCCATTCAGGGCTGTATGTGGTTGTGCTTATGTACTCAGCAGATGACCCAGAAAGAGCTGGGAGGCCCAGACTGCTGGGAAAAGCGTTTAGGATAGGAGAATGTCTTAATGGTTGGGGTGATTGTCTGGTAGAATGAAGACCTGTGCTTGGTGATCCAGGGATGTTTTCTGGGTGGGAGGAGAAGGAAGAGCTGATATGAGTGCTTGAGGTTGCTACCGGTGGGAGTCTGTTCTCAGGCCACCCTTGTGTGCTCTGCAGCTCATAGCCAAGAACAGGCAAGTCTCTGAACCAAAGCCATCAGCCTGCTTCTAGAAACGTGTCAGCGGATTAGCTTATTGGCTTTCCCCCTGAGTGGCATTAGCTCTCACCCCGTCTCATGTTCACCATCTGGCTTTTAGTAAGAAGTCTTCAAGTGATCTCTCTTCAGCAGCCTGCTCTGTGCCAGGGCTTTCTGAGGGCTTTTCAGCTTCCTCCCTACTCAACCCTGGGGCCCAGTGCTCTCCAAGAAGAGGTAGTCAGTCTGTTTGGTCCACACATATGCATACCTGGAATCAGAAGCATATTTCAGACCTCAGAGAAAAAAGAAAATCAGCTCAACGGAGGAGTCGGCGTGGTTAATGGCCTAAAGTCTTTTTTGTTGTCAGAACTAACAAGTGGATCTGTCATGTTCCTAGGTGAATTTTTTAAATGGAGTTGCGTTTGCCACAAAGTTCTTTCTGCTTGTGAGATGATGCAATTTATCCAGATTGTAGTAGAGCGAGGGAGACAAAAGGGCTGGAATTTTTCTTCCTCGTTGGGAAGCAAAGCCTGGGGGTGGGGGTGTTTAGATGAACCACCTCCCCTCCTCCTGGTGAGCTGGCTCCTCTCTCCTCCTAGGTTAATGCACATTGACTGGGGCTGAACGCCTGATGCTTCTGGACAGAGTCCAGCCCCTCGGCAGAGCAGCCGCACTGTGGAGGTACAGCTGCTGGCATTAAAGGGCTAAGCCCTTTCCAGCTGCTTTGCTTTAACGGGAATTGCCTGCAGTCGGCAGCTTAACGGAGCTGTCTTAGCCCGATTAGGAGGAAATGACTAATCTGGGCATCTCCTCATGGCACTGGCCTGGAGGTTCAGGCAGATAACCCCGGAGGGTGGGAAGTGGTTGGATAAATGGTGTTGGAGTGCTAGGTGATTACCTCCTCAAAAACGGTGCTCCCGGCTTGGCATGGCTTGTGCTTTGTTTTGCCTCCCTGAAAAGGGTTCTCTGTAGTGGCCTCCCTGGCACTGATGTTCACAGTGAGGGGTGGCCTGGGTATTAAAAGCTGGACTAGCAACAGAGATGCATAGGAGCTGAGAGCCCATGAGGGCAATAGTAGCCATCCCCAAAGAGGGAGGAGGAGACCTGAGACCTTCCAGTGTGGCCCCCCTTTGGCCTTCCATTCCCCTTTCCTTTAAACTCTAAAAGAGCCAAGATTTGAAGGAGAGAGGATCATTTCCTTGATCATAAGATACACTTAAAATGTTTTAATATCTCCGAGAATTGGGCTATCTTATAATTAATGGCATCATGCAAATATAATGCAGTGATTTTTCTTTCTTAGTGGCTCATAAAATAATGGTGCATCTTATTATCAGTGTTATTTGGGTTGGAAGTATCAGCAGTTCGTGGGAGATAGGCTGTTGGCTAGACCAGATTGGAGGCCAGGAAACCGGCTACTTAGCCTTGGAGAGATTACAGCAGGGAGATCCCCCAGGTCTGAGGGAAGCTGCAGTATAGGAAAAGCAAGGCTCATCTGGCACGAAGAAGCAGACAAGCAATGTGTAGGATAGGATGAAAATCTGCCCGAGTCATGACCCTCAGAGCCCATTATATGTGACCCCTGAGTCGGGGAAGGGGGGGAGAAAAGTCATTGTGAATCAGTGAGGCCAAGACCAAAATAATAGGATGTCCTGGTGGAATTAAATCACAGACTAGGAAAAAAACATTCGGGGAACTTTAACACAAAAGAGATTAGAGGTGTTAGATACTCTGTTTGGGCAGGGAATTGGGAGTGTTTATTGCAATCCTTTGTCCTATATGCTCACCAAATCCAGAATACCAGAGGAGGTCTCCCCTCCATTTAAACTGGAAGGCCATGGTTTGGGGACCAACAAGAAAAAGACAGCTAGTCACGGTAAGAAAACTTGCTCTGAGATGAGAAATAGACTAAAAATATAACTTTGTTTAAGAAAGTCTTCCTGGGCCGGCCGAATGGTGCGTTGGTTAAGAGCTGGCTTGGGACGCCAGAGGGCCCCGGTTCAGATCCCACATATGAGGGCCAGTGACACTGCCCTCCACAGCTAAGATGCTGAACAACAGCTCAACCTGGAGCTGGGCTGCCATGAGTCGCCGACAACGGCTAGGCTGCAGCCCCTGTGGCAGTGGGTTGCCACGGGCTACCGTGTGTAGCCAGCAGCCAGCGTGAGCAGCCAGCAGCCGCTGTGAGCGGCCGTCCAGAAGCCAACGACTGATCTGCCTCGGCCGGGAAGAGCGCAATGATGGTGCCAACTTGGGCCAGTGAAGCAACGTCCTCCACAACTAGACTGAAGAACAAAAGGACAGCAACTTGTCTGTTCCCCTTCCCCCAATTCTCCAATAAAAATATTTAAAAAAAAAAGAAGGTCTTCCTGTTCAGTAGAGAGAGATGTTCAAATACCTATGAAGTAATGTGTTCAGTGCCAGGATGGAGGTGGGCGCAGAGTGCTGGAGGAGCCCAGAGGAGTGAGGGAACTGGAGGCTTAAGAGAGCCTAGGAGGTGATGACATTCAAGCTGGATCAGAGTGGTAAACAAGGCAGCTAGCGAGGGCCCAGAAGCATATTCCAGGCTAAGGAAGTACCTCCAGCCTGGTGTTCCATACCGAGACACCCCAACTGCTGTCCTGGCTCGGCCATCTTTTACCCGTCCTTGGTTATGGGGTCAGTTTGTTGGTCCCTGCTTCTGTCTCTGTCCTCCTCCATCCCCAGCTCTGTCCGTAACTGCCCCATCATCTGACTTCAAAAGAGCTCTGAAGCAGTATTTTATTTCCCCTTTTTCTGCTCATTACCTGCAGCCTATTAATTAGTGTCATTGAACTCCCCACCCTTATAAACCCCCTTCATGAACCATGTCTCCCCTCTGCAGCTTTTGCTAAATATGTGACTGCTCCTCATTGTAGCTGCCCCTTCCTGAGACGTGATTGCAGAACTCGGCAGTGTGGACCCCCTGCCCCAGCTGCCCCAGTGGCCACAGCTTGGCCGGAAGCTTCATCTTGATTAGCCCTTAATGTCTCCCTCCTCTCCTCCCTATCTTCCCCGACATTGCTGGGCCTGGCATTGGCTGCAGGTTAACATCTCTCCATAGCAAGTATTCTCACTGCTCCAGATCATGGAGAACAGCTCTGGGAATCCAGAGGAACTGAGGTGATGCCCTCTCCTGACCTAGTGGAGTCTCCCATCAAAACCCCAATCAGCTGGTTCCAAATCACTTTTCCTTGTTATCAGAGATCAGTGACCACAGATTTTGATCTGTGCTGCCTCTTAAACCCGCAGCTCTGATGGCTACTCCTTTTGTTTACTTAGCTTCCATATGAAATTCCAGATGCTCAAAGCCCTCCTTTTCACTGCTCTATACCCACCCAGGGTCCTGCATCTCCCCCAAACCATTTCCCAGCCATGGTCTCGCCAATGCCCCTCTTTCACTGTTCTGAGGCAGCCCTTATTTCTCTTGCTTGAGTTTGATTCTTGACTCCGTTTTCCTCTGGGATCCTCTTTTCAAACACACTCATACTCGCATAATCTGTCTCCTTTGCTAAAAGCTAAGCCTGGGGTATAGGGAGGAAGTGATCCCTTCTAGAGCTGGGCTGCGTTAGAAACCGCAGGGGAAATAGCCGTATTCATTGGCAGAGGGAATGGCAATCTACTGCGATGATGGTAAAAACTGCCACCGCTGATTGCAATCTATGTGTCAAGGCATGGTGCTGAACACAAAAGTCCCACATAGGGGCCCGCTGAGTGGCTCAATTGGATAAGAGTTGGCTTGGGAGTGCGAACCCTGAGCAGCAGGGCTGCTGGTTTGGTTCCCACATGGGCCAGTGATGCTGCGCCCTCTACAGCTAAGATTGTGAACAACAGCTTGACCTGGAGCTGGGCTGCCGGGAGTGGCCGGCGATGGTGTAGGCTGCAGCCCCTGCTGCAGTGGGCTGCCGTGAGCTACCATGAGTGGGCGGCAACCAGAATGAGCAGCCAGCGGCCCACGAGAGCTGCCGTAAGCTGCCATGAGCCACCATGAGCGGCTGCCCAATGGCTAGTGACCAACTGTCTCAGCCTGGAAGAGCACAATGATAATACCAACATGGGCCAGTGAAGCGGCGTCCTCCACAACTAGACTGAAGAACCAAAGGACAGCAACTTGTCTGTTCCCCTTCCCCAATTCCCCAATGCTGTTCCCCTCCCCCCAATTCCCCAATAAAATCTTAAAAAAAAAAGTCCCATGTAGTTCTTTCAACCTCTTTGGGAATACACCCCATTTTCCAGATGAAGAAAAAGAGACTTAGGATCCTTAAGTAACTTGCTCAAGTTCACACAGCTATAAGTGCTTGAGCCTGTATTTAAACCCTTTGAACCCTTTCAACCCCTATTCTACCTTTATGTAGTCTTTTTCCTTTTAACCTTGGTGCACAGAATCCTTTAGGTCAAAGTGATTTTCTTTGGAAACGAGTCCCTAGATTACCGTCTTGCTCCTCCTCTCCCCTCTAAGGAGCCCACATGTGTCCCAGAGCCTGGCCCCTTCGTGGGCTCACCCCCTTCCACATTGTGGTCCCAGATTAGACCTGTCCCCTTTATACCCCGAGGTAGCTGTGGGGGTGGAAAGCATAGAGGGGCTTCCTGCCAACCAATGGGTAAGTGACAGCCTAGGCCCTGTGCTGGCATCATCTGCTCCTGCTAAGACAATCATCAACATAAAAGGCTAATTGTATTAATCACCAAGGCACCCGTCCAGAGTCCCCCTCCCTTTGGGGAGAATTATGAATTGCAATTGCAGATGGCTCTGCTGATTGAAGGCAGCGCTCAGCAGGGAGAGGGCCAGATCAGATTACACACCATTAATTAAAAACTTCCCCTGACAAACGGGAGGAAGGGAGTGCACACCAAGGGTCTGCCTGCTTGGGTCTCTGTCTTCCTTGTGCTCCTGGCCCCCCACCCAGGCTCACGGGGCTGTGACTGTGAAACCCGCTGCCCCTGGCTGCAACCACTGAGATTTGGCTCCCTGAAGGCCTGCCCTTCCCTCATCCAAACAGATGGCCGGCTGGCCTATTAAAGGTCTGCAGAGAAGCAGCTCACCTTTGGTTACTCATTCCTGTCGAACTTCGGATGCTCTTCAGACTTTAACCTAATTCCTCACTTCTCATGAAGCTTGTCTCCTCTCGTTCTAGTCTATTCTGACAGCACAGCTTCAAAGGACTAATTGTGAAGGTAGCCCCCAGCTTTCTCTTCAGGCCATCATCAGCCTTACCCTTTTGGCCTGAAGATCCTGGGACAGTGGTTACACAATTGGCTCTGGAGTAGGGGTGGGGACTCAAGTGTGGCTGTGCACGCTCTTCCCAGCTACCCCTACCTGCAAGCCCAGGCTTCTCAGCTGCTCATTTTTGGCTCATTTGGGGCTGTAACTCCTGAATTCTCCTCCTGTTGATCAATTACTACTTCTCCTCCCTCCCAGCCACCCAGCCTCAGTCATCCATTCATCAGACTTTTATTGAGCACCCAGGGTGTGCTCGGCTAGGGATGCAGAGATAATTTGTCTAGGAGCTTAAGGACCTCCTGCAGGAGCTCCACCCCCTGCCCTCTTCAACCTTCTAGTTCCCGCTTCCTTCTTTTCTCTGGCTGCAGCTTGTATAAGCACCGCCCGAGCGCTATTTTGGAAAATTCTAAGCTGGGAGCTGGGGAGACCTTAGGAAGCTGTGGTACTGAGCTGGGTGACCTTTAGCAAGTCAGTCACAACCTCCATACACACACACACACACACACACACACACACACACACACACACACACACAAACCCAGCTGTCCCTGCTCATAAAAGGGCACAAGAAGCCCTGGGCTGTAAGAGACTGTGAAGATGGATGAATGTGGCCCAGCTTGGAGAGATGTGAATAGTACTCTGCACTGACAATACTACAGAAAGCTGAGCACAGCTGCTGTGGCGAGGAGCACCTGGGACTCGGTTACTGAACTGGTGACGGGCTAAGCCTGCCCTCAGAAGACTGGCAGCCCCTCCCCCACCCCCAGCCCCTTTGGAGACATCATGGAAAAGAACCTATCTTTTTTATGGAGTTTGGTTGCTGCATCTCAGGGTGCCATGGTGATGGGCACCATAGAGATGAGAAGAGCTGGCTTTTATTGGCTTGTCTCTTCATTCCAGGGTCCCTCCCCCAACCCCCGCCATCTACACACACTCAAAGTTCTCTGGTCAGTAGACCCAGGATAGAAGGAGGCAGGGCCCTCCCATGAGTGGAGCAGATGACAGGAGAAAAACCTCTCTTCCCCGCCTTAGCAATCATCTCCCTGTCTCCCTTCTTCGCCTCCCATTACCAACAGCAATTGTATTCAAACCCAGTAATTACAGTAATAGCAACAATAACCATCTTTTATTGGCTTTGTTTTTCTAGCATTTTAATTTCCCCAAACATTTTCCAATCCCTTGTTTGTTTTCACAGCATTCCCTGGGGGAGGCTTGTGCCCATTCAACAGCTGGGGAAGCCGAGATCCAGATAGGACCCCACGTCATGGGCAGAGTCAATTTGCAGCAGCTTGTAAATATTAGCCAACCAACTGAGACTCCGGTAGTCATTCAGAGGCATTGAACTGAAAACTGTGGTTTCCTGGGTCATTCTTGAGTTCCTAGCATCGTTGGGGCTTATTCAGCAGCTTTTGAGGGCTCCTGGTGGAGCTGAGAATGAGGCTGGAGATGGCTTTTTCTGGCCCAAATCATGGACCCAGGGCTGGGCTGGGGTCGCCCCTCTCAGGATTGCTCCTGTGAATGGGGCTGAGATAGAAGGCGGGCAAACACCCGGAAAGAGCTTGCTCTGGAAAAGGCCTGTTTGGCCCAAACCTGTCTTCCTATAGCCTGCCCATCTGCTAGCCCAAGAAAAGTGCCCTTTTAGTATCGGCTCTTCCTAAGTGTGGAGTCCTTTCCTGGGCATTTGGAGAAATGAAGAATGAAGGTCTCTTGGGAAGGTAATCTCTGTCCTCAGAAAGCCCCCAGTCTGAGGGGGAGCCATAGCCCCCAAACCACACCCAAGAGCAGAGACATGCCTCTGAGGAACTCAGGCTTCTGTGAAGTCTGGCCCCTCCTCCCCAAGGGTGGGATGAAAAGTTGGGGTTCCCTGAGGTCCCTTTAGCCCTTAGTCTCTAAGCAGAGTGGCTGCCTGCTTAGACATGGGGATCAGGAGTCCAGATGGATGAGAGAAGAGGACGGCAGTTCCCCGCCTCCCTCTGCTCTGTCCCGTTAAGAGGTAGAGGAGGAGGAACCTGAACATATTTGCTCCCCAGATTCTATCTAGAAATGTAATGCCAGGGAAAGGGATTGGCACCCCTTGCCCACCCTGTTAGGACAAGAGGCCAAGCCTCCCTACCCACCCTTGAAAGCACCCCCTATCTCCCCAGAAAACTTGAAGTCCTGGACATACTGCTCACCTCCCCAGCTCCTCTCAGAAGCCTGAGGACGGGAGCCAAGTTCTATACCATCTGACACACACTTTCCAGTTTGGTGTCCCCTGAACCGGACTGGGATTCCTTCTGGGACTCCACCGCTACCAGTTTTTCTGTCTCCGCATTGCCCGTGAGGATAGCCAGTCGCTGGGCCAGGGTCTTGGTGTCAGGGAACAGGATGAAGTTGTAGATCAGCGAAGCCAGGATAGCCCCTGTCAGGGGTCCCACCCAGAAGATCTGAGGAGGCAGAGAGAAGTGAGCACCTGGCCCTTGAGCTGTCAGATCGAAGCGTGCTTTGAGGCCCCTGCCTGCTTCCCTAGTGTTGACTTGGTCTCCCAGGTACCCTCAAGCTGTCTACAAGGTGGCAGATTTGAGAAGGGGCATCCCCCTCCACCCACCCCTCTCCCCTCCCCGCTTGCCAGTCCCTGGAGGTGAGGGGATTGTGCCTCCCACAGGGCCGGCCCAGCGTCCTCTTGCCTCGCCTCCCAGGCCAGCCAGGAGCCTTGGCTAGTGCTGTTCCTGTCTTTGCTGGTGTGTGTGTGTGTGTCTATTTCTGTTTATCTATTTCTTTATCCAAGTTTGGAAATTGGTCCAGCTGGAGAAAGTGAGTAAGGAAACAGCCAGGATTTGAGTTCTGGGCCAAGGCTGCGGTTCCTGCCCTGGCCCGTTTCTTGCCAGTCCACTGGGTACCCCCCGGCTACTGAAGCTGGAAAGGAAGCACAAAGCCAGGATTCGTGCTCTGGTCCTCTGAGCTTAGGGAAACCTCCATCGGGGCTCGAGACGGCCTGTGGCAGGGCGACGTATCTCCCCAAGTCTCTGTGGCCCCACTGCTGGTGAAAGCCATGGTCCCTATTGTCCCTACTTGGGCCCTCTCCCCTCTCCATGTCTGCCAGCAAAGGGTCTCACCCAGTGGAGTGTGAACTTCCCAACGATGATGGCAGGACCGAAGGAGCGGGCTGGATTCATGGAACAGCCAGTGAAGTAGACCTGGGGAGCGATCGTGGGTTCAGGGTGTGGAGAGGTTTAAGGCAAGCCTGGGAGGGGATAGTCCCTTCTGCCTTGGTTTAGAGCCCCAGTTGAACTTTGGCTTCTGCAGCATTATCTCCTGGGCCTGGAGTGTGGGGCACAGCCTTGGCCCCAAGGCATGAGGGACTCAAGGAGGGACATTGCCCGGCTTTTAGGACCCCTCTGTAGTCCCCCCCAGGCGGAGCAGTGTGTGTATATGCATGGCATCCCCTTTGCCCCTTACCCCGATGAGGTGGCCTAATGCCACGGATATCCCGATCATGGCAGCCGGGGAGCCTGATGCCTGACGGCCGTCGGTGGAAGCAAAGACACAGAGCACCAGCTGCAGGGTCAGAACCAGCTCCACTGTCACTGCCTGGCTGGTCGAGACGTTGCTCCAGACCTGGGTAAGGGGGTTATGCTGGAGCCCACGTGGGCTCTGCCAGGAGATGGTGACACGCCCCCACCTCATTTCCTCATTGTAAGTGTGTGACACCTCACCAGCGCCAGTTCCAGGACTTAGGGAGAACTATGTGGTGGGGTTCAGGTCAGCCCCGGACACTTGCTCCCTGAAGAAGTGTGTATTGCCCTTCTCGATCCAAAGGTTGGTTGGGGCCCAGTGATTCAGGGGGGTGGCAGGAGTGCAGGACTGGTGGGAGAGGGGAGGCTCGGAGCAGCTGGGGTGCATGTTTGACTGGGAGGGGACCTGGGTGGGAATGGAAGGAGGACATTTGGGGAAGTAGGTGGAACATAGATGATGAGGGGAGGGGGGCCGGGTGAAACAGGCATCAGGGTGCTGAGAAGGGAGGCATGTGGGAAAACAGGAGCAAGGGACAGGAGGGGGACTGAGGGAGGAAGATGAAGCACGGGCAGGGCCCCTGCCGCCACCCCTGGCTACCCCGACCCCCACATGCCTGGTCCTTCTCCAACTCCTGCCCCTTAGTGGGGCTTCTCCCTGCTCCACCTCTTCTTTGAACCACAGTCACATCTCTGCTCTGCCTGCACTAAGGCCACCCACACTTTGATCCCCCTGGGTCTCACGGCCCAGCCCAGAACAGGTGTGGAACACGTGGCTGAGTGGTTACCTCCCTGCCCCCTCTCCCCCAGCTTGGCCCCCTACCCTTACCACCTGTTTAGACACCTCCCATCTGGCCCTGCCAGGTGCCCCTCCCTACCATGTTGATCCCAAGGGTCTCTCGAAGGTCCCCCGTTGTGACTCCATAAAGCACAGCAGCCCCCACAGTGGCCCCTGTCAGCTGGGCAGCCACATAGGCCACAGCACGGGGCAATGAGATCTGAGAGCCCACAAGGAAGGCCAGCGTCACGGCGGGGTTGACGTGGGCCCCGCTGGCCTTCCAGGTGATCTGCACAACCACGGCTGTGGCCAGGTTGAAGGTGATGGCGACCTGCAGCACAGTGGGAAACGCCAAGGGCCAGTGCAGAGTCGAGCCCACGCCAAAGAACACGTACAGCCCTGTGGCCAGGAACTCCGCAAACAGTGCCTTGCTGGTGGCTGTCCAGAGCTGGTGCCCCCTCATCTTGGTCAAGCCGCGCCCTTCCGGCTTCATCATGTCTAGGTCTCAGGGCCTTGGCTGCCACCTCTTCTGCTCCCAGGGCCTCTCTCTGCTTGCCTTGCCCCTGGTTTCCTCTGCCTCCTCTAATCTTGTCTCTGGCCTGCTCTGGCTGTCTGTGTAGAAGCTTCGCAGGCCCCCACCTGCAACTTCTCCACGGCACTGCTATCCTCGGACTGTGCTGGTCAGACTGGCAAGGGTCGGTCTGATGGGGTTATTATGTGTGTCTGGGTAGGTGGGAGGTGTGGGGGTGGCATAAGGGGCGGTACTCACATGCCTGCCCTGTCCTGAGCTCACCTGACAGCTGGGGGGGAGGGGAGGCAGTCTCAGGGTGCTGAGCTGGAACCTCCCAGGAGGTTTCCAAGCTGGGCAGGCCTAACAGTGTGGCAGGCAGGGGCCCAACCTGAGGGTCGTAGGTGCAGGAGGAGGGGTGGGCATGGGATTCCAGGGTGTTCAAATCCCCGATGTCAGCTTAGGTAGAACAAAATCACTCAGATCCGCAAGTCCAAGGCCTGCTTCAGAGGGTCCTGCGCATTGTGTAGGGGAAGCTCTTGTTCTCCTGGGCCCCCTCTGCCTGCAGGCTCTGCCTTCAGATGGACTCACACTGTTCTGTGCCCATAAACCCAGATGTGAAATGGAGCTCTCTCCTCCATTCCCACCTAAAACCCCACTCACAGAAAGCAGATGTTAATAGAGTTAACTTTACTAAGGACATGGGCCTATGGGGGTGCAGAGGGGCCAGATGGAGGACGGGTTTATTCCACAGCTAACCAGATGACACACATGGCAGTGGGCACCTCTGCTGCCTGCCAGGGGAATTTCCACTGGTCTCTCACCCACTTCTCCTCGACTCTTTCTGTTTCCCTCACCCTCCTCCTCCCTTCTCAGTCCCATCCCCCCTCCATTCTCTGCTCTCCTTCTCTCAGGGGCCAAAACATTCCTTTACATCTCAGGCAGGGCAGCTTAGCCATTTTTGTCGTGATGCTGGCCCTAAGGTCACCCATGCCCTAAGCTCTGCCCTTTTACCCCCAGCAGCATATCAAGGTATTGACCTCCACAAAGCTATTCCCTCCCTGAGAAGAACCTGCCCAGCTGTTAAAATAATAGTTTTCACCTCTTAACCACATCTGGGTGCCCTGACCTCGCCAGCCCCTGGCCATATCTAGCTGTTGTGTTTGTCTCCTGGTTGTCCTCGGGCTCCTCAAATGCAACCTTTCTCAAAATGAGATCCTCCTACCTCTTTGTCCTCCCAAACACACTCCTCCTGTTTCCTCCGGATCAGTTGGAGGCACCTGGGAAGCATCCTGGACTCTTCTCCCCACCCCCCCAATCCCTGCCCCCTTCCCCATCCAGTAAAGGCAGCAAGGCATGCTGATTTTGAGTCCTAAATGTTTCTTGACTGTGCCCTCTTCTTGCCACCCCTGCTGCCCTGCAGCCTTTAACCATTCTCTCTGTCTGCTCCCTTGCTCTGCTCCAATCAATTATCCACACTGCAGCCAAGTGATCTTTCTAAAATGCAAATGTGATCCTGCTGCTCCTTGCTAAAATCTCTTCAAAGCCTCCTGTCCCCCCTGGGATCCTGCTTCTCCTACGTCTCCTCTCCCCACTCCTCGCCTTGCTCGTTAGTTACCCTCTGGCCTCACCAAATGGCCAGTGGTTCTGGAACACTCCATGCTGGTTTCTCCTTGCAGGTTGCTCTCCCTTCTCCTTGAAGTGCCTTCCCACTCCCTTTGCTAACCCATCCCTAAGGCTCAACTTCCATGTCACCTCCTCCTTTCCTGGATGAGGACCTCTCTGTGTGCTCCCATCATGCCTGGGCATTTTTATGCGCTACACTCACCATAGGGTGTTGCCATGGAGTTAATGTGTCTCCCCAGTGAGGTGGTGAGCCCCTGAGGGGGCAGGAGCCAAGTTTTGCTCATCCCTACATGTAGTGTCTTGCACAGGGATTGGCCATAGTAGGTGCTCAATAAATATTTGTTGAATGAATCAATGAGCGAATAGAAGCTTCTTGACCTCCTGGAGGCAGGTGATTTTCATATCTGTTTCATTTCAGCCGGTTATTCTTATGGCCTTATACCCGCCCTCACCTGGGACTGGGACCTCTGAAATCTTTAAGTGAAACATCCCAGCTTTGATCACAGGCTCTGTCCACTCACTTTCCTCCATCTCAGTCACAGTAAAATCCCTTCCCCATCCTCTTTCTGTTCTCCCAGCCCCCTCTCCAGCCAGATCCCCTGGTATCTCACCTCAATGCCCCACTGTCCTAACTCCCTGTTTTCTCTACCCCACCTCCCCCACATCTCTCCACTCTCATTCTCCTCACACCCCTCTGCCTGTGTAGCCATCTGCGGCTGCTGAGCACTGCTGGAGACACTCACCCAGCCATGCAGACTGTTGCCATGACAAGTCCATGGTCTCTGGCATCAACAGGGGCCGCAGCTCTACTCAGCAATCCTTATACCATCCCTAGGCATCTCTATTCCCATTCTTCTAAGACCTACTTCAGACCTTCCCCACTCTCTTCAAGTCCCCACTCACTCAGGCTTCCTTCCAGCAGGTCAACTTGCCTCCTGTCCCACCCAGAAAGCCAAGCTAGCAGACAAGACCCCTTCCCTTCCTTCCTCCTCAGGCGCAAGCTCACCCGTGGGTCCCGCGCCCTCACCAGCTTCCCTGTGGCCCTGAAGAGGAGGTAAGCCTTCTCCTGTGTTGAGTCAGGGGCCCCTCCCTGTGCTCTTGGCTCCGTGAGTGATGGGAGCTAGCCCTTGGCCATTGCCAGCCTCATCTGTGGTTTGCACTCCTCCCTCTCCTGGCTTCTTCCTTATATAATAACATGCCCGCTAATCTCAGAAGAGCGGAGGGATCATGGGTTTGGAATGCCTTTCCTCTTTGTCTTTCTTTCAAGGCTTTGCTCCAGTCTAATTCCTCCATGAAGTCCACTCTGATTTCCTCCCCCACAGCAGAATCAGGTCAAGCTTCATGGAGAAATTTGGCTTAAGCAAAGCCAGTGGCTACTCCTGGCTTTGGCCTCCTTAGTGCCTCTACTGCTCCATTGCAGACTCCTATGCTTGCCTGGCTTAAAGGAGTCTTTCAATAAATACTCAAGGAATGAAGGAATGGATGGGCAGCATGGGTGACGTTCTTCCCCGCCATGGTGGGTTCCCTGCGTAGGAGCTGTCCCAGGGAACCTCCAGGGTGTCTCTCTCCGTCTCTCCCCTCAGACAGGGCCATAGAGGGTTTGGGGACAGATACTTTCCAGGCCCTATTATATCTTACCTAGAGGCTAGGTTTCTGCACCTGTACACCAGGCAGGAATGCTTATCTGTTGAGAGCCTTTGGTAAGACAATACAAGTAAGAGCATTTGTACATTGCTATGTATACTATACCCCTGACCTGTGCTCAACTTCTGTGACCTTCGTTTCCCCACTTATAAAATGGAGATGAAAATTCCGACCTCCCTGTGTGTCATTATCAGTAAATGTGCTAATACCTAGGAGAGTGTCTCTGAGTCAGAAAATGTTGGTGATTAGGATTGCCACTCCCCTCCCCTCTCCAGTGAGACAGCTGTGGGGACCAGGCTGGGAGAGGTGGGGGAAGGGAGGAAGGGTCCTGGTGCTGTAGCAGCTCCAGGACAAGCAGCACCTGCGGCCTGTGCTCTGGGCCCCAGAGGCAGAGAGAATTAAGTGAAACCCTTGTTTCCAGCTGGCCTAGAACAGAGCTTCCTGGGGCCCTGCCTGGCCTGAGACAAGGTCCTTCACCCCTGAGGCCAGACAGGTATTGGCAAGGGCTTGTTGCAACTCCAGTCAGCACCTTGCCGGGCCCAGCCGGTCCTGGGCTCGAGTGCCATGCTTTGAGATCACTCATGCTCAGAGGCCTTTGCCAAAGCCCTTCACCTGGCTGCCAACAAATGCCCGTCAGGTGGCTGTGTGCTCTTAACCTCCCAGAGGTCTGTCTCTGGGCTCCCTGCACTGCTGGGATGGGCACCTTCATGACAAGGTGTGCATGCATGTGTGTGTCTGTGCATGCACATGCATGTACACAAGGGGCAATGTGAGCTCTGACTGAGGTCCTCTCAGGGCTTGGGGGAAAAAAGGAGAGCAAGAGGGAGGGGAAGGAGGAAAGTACAGGGAGAGAAGAGGAAGGGCAATAAAAACATATCAGAAAGGGAAGAATTCAAGGTAGCTTCCCTCCTCACATTATCTCACCAAGCCCCATGAAATGTGGCAGGAAAGGAGGTCTGATCTCATCCACACATGATCGCAGAGGAAGCTGAGGCACAGAGAAGGGCTGGGAGAGCTGACCCTCCAGCAACCCCTCCTCCTGTCCACCCATCTAGGCAGCCAACCTTCTGTCCATTTTCTGCCTTCACCCCCAATTCTCTTCCATCTCTCTATGATGTCACCATGTCCACCTTCCTACCTGGTGAAAACTGGCAGCCCCTGGGCAGAGGGGGAGTGAAAGAGGGAGGAAGCCGCCTAGAGGAGAATCAAGGCTCTTCCTGGGTTCCGTTTTCAGATGGAGCAGAGGGTCAAAGGAGTGACTGAGCATGTATGTGCTTGGGTGTGACACACACACGTGTGCCTCTCCTAGAACACATGGAGTTAGACTCCCAGTTCTGGTCCCCAGCAACCCTGTGAGACAGAATGGGGGAGGATTGACGGGGCTCTCACACTCACGGAGTGAGCCTAGAAGACGCAGCCCTTCGGTACAACTGAAGGTCACTGTGGATGTGCGGGGTTAGGGTGTGCGTGCTGTGTGCGCAGGTCTTTGTGAGCCGGGACCCAGCAGCGCGAGGAGCAGCCACCATGGAGCACAGCGCCCTCTGCTGGTCACACAGCCCGACCGCCGCAACTTGTCCGCTCAAAACCCTAGGCGGACCCTCGCCCTCTGGCGGGACCTGGAACTCCTTCGGATTGGGTGCCCCATCCACCCCTGAGGGTCTGTCCCCTACAGGCCCACATGTCAGAGAAAAGGACACAATTTTCTGGGCTGGGGGGAGAGGCCAGCCTCCCAGTCATGGCTGTGCCTCTACCTGAGTCTTGTGGAAACTGGATGGGGAAGAGATTCCCCTCTCTTCTGCACACCCTCTCAGATGGTGGGGTGGGGGTGAACTGCGGATAGCTGCTTCCTGGCGGCTCCAGAGGACCCAGGCCTGAGAGGCTCCCCGTGTCCTCCACCCCGCACGCCCCATCTGGCTGGAGCCCAGACCTAGGACTCGTGGACGAGGAAGCACTGCAGCTGTGCATTCGGTGGACGAGGTCCCCCCCTGCTGGTCGAAGCTGGCACTTGCGGCCCGACTGGGGTGGGGGCCGGAGGCGGCGGGTGAGGTATTGCTCCTTTCCTGAGGTTCTCATAGGCACACTGCCATTTGGTGTTAACTGCATGCCGAAGAGGCAGGCAGGGCAGGGCGGCGGCAGCTCCCACTTACAGATACTAGACTCAAGAGTGAAGGAGGGCTAGGGACTCTGCCGCTCCCACCCTGAGCACCTGGGACTGCATAGGGTGCATAGCCTCTTCCACCCCTTCCCAGTCCATCTCCTGGTCCTACTGGCCCTTTCTCTTCCGGGGGCAAAACTGAAGACCTCTGGGAGAGGTTCCTACACCAACAAGAAGCCAGAGCTCAGTCAGGTTCAAACACCTTCAGGAGAGCAGAGGCTCAATAATGGGGTGTGTACGCACGGGTTTCTTTTCACACTACTTTATTGAGCACTCACTCTGAGGTGCCTGGCCCTGTTTCCACACAGGTTTTACTTCCATCCATTGTCTTGTTTTATTCTCATAACCATCCAGGAAGTGGGTACAGATATCCCCATTTTCGGATGAGGTAATTAAAACTCAGAAGACTTATGTTACCCAAAATTGTGAAGCAAGACTTGAACTCTAAGCAGGACTCTTTAACTATGATGCAGGGCTGTGTGCTGAGCTGCTCATCTGCATTCCACCCTCATCCCCACAGAGAGCAGACAGGTCCTAGGAATCTCACTCCTTCATCTCATCTGATTCCCCACAGCAACACTGTGAGGGAAACGGTTTTAATCCTCATTTTATAGTTTAAGAGATGGAGGCTTGGCGAGTTAAGGAGGTTTCCTAAAGAGTGTCAGTGGCAAGGGAACAAGAGCTGGTGAGGGCAGAACTGCAGGTGCAGAGGGGGAAATGGTGGGGACACTGGCCTGCAGGGGCTGGGGAGGGGAGACCGGAAATAGCTGGGCCAGGTGTGGTGTGTGTGTGTGTGTGTGTGTGTGTGTGTGTGTGTGTGTGTGTGTGTGTGTCAGGAGGCACTGCTCTCTCTGAGCACAGGTTCCCAACATGGCACCTTTCTAGAACATTGAAGTACAGAGAGGGGTGTCCAGGGCTGTGCCTTCTCCCCAATGACAGACCTGGCTGGTCACCCCCTTGGAATCTCAAGGGGCTGCAGGCTGGTTCATTTCTCCAGCAGGCACACCCTCCTCAAGTGGCAGGGACTTGACATAGCTGAGGTGGGAGGGGTGTGCAGGCAGGAGACTCTGTGAGGAAGGTGCCTTCTTCTCTGCTCCCACTGCCCCTTCCTGACCTCTAGCTCTATTTCTATATTTGGTCTCTCCCTCTCTCTCTTTGTCTCTCTCTCCACCTCCTCTCTTACTCTCTCACGCCCATATCTGGCTCTCGAGGCCTCCCCTGGCTTCAGCTTCCCTGTCTTTCCACAGAGGACTGTGGAGCCCATGGGGGCCCATGGGGGAGGGTGTGGGAATGACAAAGAGGAGAGGTGATGAGCCGGCATGTCCCAAGGAGAGGCTTCTGGAGAGAGGTGAGGCATAACATGAACGTCATTGGTTTATTGGGAAGCCCCCACCCCAAACACCAGCAGCCCTACCCCATGCGTCTTTAAGCAGAAATAAATAAGGCAGCATTTAATGAACCAATCTGTCTCCCTCCTAAAGAGCTCTCTGGAAGGGGTCAGCCTCTGCTGTGCTAGGGGCTGAGATCCCTTTGGCTCTTGAGGAGGGTATGAGGAGAGTGGGGGATAAAGAGTGCAGGCCACCCCTTCCTGACCTGGCCCTGGGGCAGCCTGCGAGCTTGGTGCTGTGTACACAATCTCTGAGGTCTGACCTCATGGAAGCAGCTTGCCCTGTCCCAGAGGAACCCCCTCCCCATCAGACCCCAGCCCCTGGCCCCCACCCCAAGAGTCCCATAATGGGTTCCTGCTCCCATTTCTAACTGTGCAGCCTGGGGAGCCAGTACCTCCTCCCCAGTCCAGAGGACCCAGCTGTGGGGGGTGGGGGAGAGGAAGCTTTACTGTCATGTTTTTTTATTTTCCCCATTTTTTTCCCCTGTGGTTCAGGGGCTAAGGGGCTAGCCCCCGCCTGATGCTTGTCAGCGGGCAGTCAGCTCCATGGTCTTCTTTCGCTCCTCGTGCGCCTCCTCCCAGTCCTCCTCAGGCTCATATGTGCCCTTGACAATGGCCACACGCTCAATCAGGCTCAGGGAGTTTGGGAAGAGCAGGTAGAAGTAGAGGACGGCAGCCAGGGTGGCCCCCACGATGGGCCCTACCCAGAACACCTGGTGGAGACAGGGCAGCGTCAGGGGGCAGAGCCCCAGGCCTCAGAGACCAACACCTCCCCTCTCCAGAAGACAGACTCATGGACCCTCAGAGGAGACGGACATACAGCCTTCCAGGCCTCCAGAAGGAAAGACTTCCTCCCATCTCAGGGACAAATATACTGACATTCCACTCCCCAGTGACAGGGACATGGACCACAGATACCAGTATCCTCAAAGGAGACAGACAGATCCCTACAGGGACAGGACCCCTCCAACCCCACCCTAAAGAGAGACAAATGAACCTTCAGAGGGACAAGATATACAGGTCCTCAGAGAGACCAACCGAACTCTTCTCCCTTCCACATCGCAATGGAGACAGACTCTAGAGAGAGACCATGAGCTCTCAAAGGAGGTGACAGATTAGCTGGGGGGAGGGGGACACAGACCCATAGGAAGGAAGACTCGCCCAACCCCTCAATAGGGACAAAGAAAACATCAGACAGTGGACACACACAGACCCCCAGGGGGACAGACAAAATCCTCAGAGATCAACGCAGAGGTACAGCCCCCTTCTCTTCCCTAGAGGGACAGACACATATAGTTCCCCCTCAACCCTCCAACCAGGCTCCCCTGTCCCCAGGAGCTCAGGCCCTATAAATCCACCCCTACCCTCATTCTGGCTGCATCCCATTCCCTTCTATGTCCCCTTCTCTCCAACTGCCTCTCCCAGGGCCCACCCCCGTGCTCTGGGCCCACAGCATCTTGAAAGTTCAGTTAGCGCTCAGCTGCCACAGCCAGGTGTCCAGGCCCTCATTGCCAGGGGTCCTGGGGAGTCCCAGACTCACCCAGTGCGCAGAGCTGAACCGCTTCATGACCACTGCGGGGCCGAAAGAGCGGGCTGGGTTCATGGAGCAGCCGGTGAAGTAGATCTGGACAGAGAAGGATGTGGTGAGGAGGGCAGTGTGCTTGTTCACTTCCACAGGGCCCCCAACTCTCCCAGGGTCACCCAGCAGTTCAGGGGCTCAGCCAGGTCTCCAGCTCACGTCTCCTCATTCCTAAGCTGGTGACCTCTCCCTATCCTGAGCTCAGGCTTGGTTTCCTGCCTTCACCCCAATTCCCGCTTACTTCCATCTTTCCTCAGGCTAGAGAAGGTTTGGGGTGTTCAAGTCTGGGTCAGAGAATAGCAGCGCCACTCCAGGTCCAAACTGCAGGGCTTATTGGTCTGGAGGGGTACTGATCTGGAGCCCCATTATTTGCCCTGAGGGGCTCCCCACAACCCCGGCCATGTGGCAGCTCAACTCACCCCCACGAGATGGCCTAGTGTGACCGAGAGGCCAATGGACAAGGCTGGGGAGCCCACAGGGCTGGTGCGACGGGAGTCGGTGGAGGAAAAGATGCAGAGCGCCAGCTGGAAGGTCAGAATCAGCTCTACCACGAAAGCCTGGCCCTGCGTCGTGTTGTTGCTGAGCTGTAATGGGAGGGTGGTTTAGGACCCCTGCTTTCTTCTGGCTGGATGGCCAGGGGCTTGAAGAGATGGGCCTTGGGTCTCCAAGGACAGCTAGAGCCCAGTGCATATCAAGTCAGGGAGATTGTTTGCCAAAGAGACTACATATTTCACAGTGTGTGCAAAGCTTGGAGTGCAGGTCTGTGGCCAAAGGGCAGTGTGAGGGGAGCTTTTTCTGGACACAGTCCTGTCAACGGTTCTACCCAGTCCCCACCCCCCACAAGTTGGCATTTACCCTCCCTCCTGTAGGCAGCTTCCCAGTTTGCCTATTGCATCCCCAACCCACCTCCCGCCGTGCCTGACCCGCTGCCAGTGCCAACCTCAAACCCGTCTCTCCAGTGTGGCTGACTCACGGCTTGACAATGGCGGAGAAAATCCTTCTCTGTATTTGATTAATGAACCCAGTTTGCATGGGACATGGGGACTGAATGTGGGGCTGCGGGAGGGGGAGGCAGCAGGGGGCCAGGAGCAGGAACCAATATTCAACAGAGGCCCTATGCACTGTAACTGAATTAGGGGGTTCACATGCATGGTTTCTAAATGGGATCCTTGACACCTGCTGTGGTAGATTATGACCATCTCCATGTAATGGCTAGAAAAATGAGACCCAGAGAGGCCAGGGTCAGTGGAAGCCAGGAATACAATCCATCTCTCTCTGATGGTTCCATAAAACCACTCCACTGAGGAGCAGACATGAGCCATGAGGGGGCCAAGAGGAAGGCAGAGTTCAGGGATAGGAGAAAAGAAGTTTGGGGCAAAAAAGGAGGGGCAGTAGGTACCAGGAGAGAGGCCAGGAAGGAGCAGCAGGAGGGGAGCCGGGAAGCTGGCAGAGGAGGTGGGTATGAACCAGGAAGGCTGAGCAGGGGCACACACCTTCCTCGCAAGGGTATGCACTGGCCCACTTAGTGGCACCCATTCTTGAGATGGAGTATGGAGGCCTGGTCCCAAGCCCACCCCGGGGTCCCTTGGATACTCACTGTGTTGACAGCCAGATTGCCCCGGGCATTGGCTGGTGCCAGCCCATAGAGGATGCCTGCTCCGGCAATGGCACCCACCAGCTGGGCTACCACGTAGAAGACAGCCCGGAGCAGGGAGATCTGGTTGCCCACTAAGAGGGCCAGTGTGATGGCAGGGTTGATGTGGCCACCGCTCACGGGCCCCAGGGCCTGGGCCAGGGTGCCTATGGCCAGGCCAAAGGCCAGAGAAATCTGCAGAATGGTGGGCAGCGCCGACGGCCACTGGAGGGCCGAGCCCAGGCCGAAGAAGACGAAGATGAGGGTGGCCAGGAACTCGGTGAAAACGGCCTTGACGAAGGCCACGGAGCACACTTCCTTCTTCATGGTAGGTGCAGGTCCTGAGCGGCAGCGGCGGGCACCCGTCGGGACAGCGGTGGCACTGAGGACAGGGGGCTGGCTCCCAGGCGCGTCGCGCTCTCCTGGGTCCGCTGTGCGACTAGCGACCTGGCGCGGGCCCTGCAGGGGTGCACTATATAGAGGGCGGGCGCCCCGGAGCTGGGCTAGAGCGGGAGGGGGGGGAGAGGGGGGGAGTGGGCGGCTCCCGCGCTTGGGGGCCAGCACTGTGTGCAGAGGGGGAACTTTGCCGCGGTCCTGGGCGCGCCGCTGCCTGGGGGCCCTGCGCGTCTCCTCGCGCGGGCAGCACGCGACCTGCCCGGGCCAAGTGACCCAGGCGGCGGTATATACCCGCCGGGCGGCAGAGGACCTGCGTATGGTGCGCTCCAGGCTGTTCCCACGCTCAAGTGCGCGCTGTTTGTCCCGGACTCCCGGGGAGACTTTGCTCCGGCCAGGCTCTCCTGTCCTACGGACCTCCAGACGGCTGCCTCCGTCCGGCTTTTATCTCTGGTCGCGCGGTCTCCCCACTTTCTCCTCTTCGGGCCCTGGGTCCAGCTCCTCCTTTTCCTCCTGCGACCCGGGCATGCTTACCCAGCCTCACGCCCGGCGGGGCTGGAATGATGCTATCCCTGAGGACAACGCCACTCAGCTCCCTGCCGCCCGGTGGCGGGGGCGGGCAGCCGGACTGGGCGGTCCCGGCCAGGCTAGCCTCCAGGGTTGGAACGGGGTGTTTTGGGAAAAGCGGACACTGACTGCGCCGGCCTGCGCCCCCCCTCCCCCCTCACCTCCCCTTGGCAATCCTCGACTCCCAGCAGCAGTCCTTGCTGGAGACGGCGGATCCTGGGAGGCGCCCTCTGCTCAGCAACCATCCGAGCCCCTCCAGGAGTACAGCCCTCTCGGGGACCACAGCGAGTCCCTGAAGGAGGTGGGGCCCGGGAGTTCACTTTGTCCACGGGACAGGAGGAGGCATAGCCCGGTTTTGTTTTAAGTCAGGGAAGAGGCCCTGGACTCGGGGTGGGGGTGGGGGTCAGAGTGGAGTGTGGCGAGGATGCAGGCGCACTACTGACCTCCCACGCGGAGTATTGGCCTCTCCCGCCTTCCTGTCAGAAGCCCCCCACTCTAGATCTCAGGTTTCCCTTCTCCCACCTCCAGCTCTTCTCCCTCCTCTCAGCCTCTTTAGTCTCCTCTTCCTTCAAACCCTCACTCTGTTTTTATTTCTCTCCCTCGTGCAATCTCTCTGCCTCTCCCGTCTTTCTCCTTCAGTTTGTTTTTCCAAACCTTGGCTGTCTCTCATTTTCATACTTTTTGCCTTTCTCTTCAGTCTCTCTGCTCTCCTCCTGTCAGCCTCTTCCTTCCTTTCTCAATCTCTCTTTTTCCCCCTTCCTTTTACTCTCTCTGCCTTAGTCTCTCTATTCATCTCTTTAGTTTCTATCTCCTAGTCACCTTTCCTCTGTCTCTTAATTTCTGTGACTTGCTTTGGTTCTGTCTCTACCTCATTTTCCATGTCTGTCTTTCTCACATGTGGTCTTTTTCAGGGACCCCCAAAGCCAAGTCCTTCCACCCCTGGACTGGGTGACACTTTCTTCCAGTTTGCCCCCCTCCTGTCTTTGCCATTTTCTCTCTGAGACCCCAGCTGCTCTCCACCATTTCTCCCACCCCACCCTCTTCCCATCTCTAGGTTAGGCATGCAGGGAATGAGGCTGGAGGGCTCTCCAGGGCTTGGAGGAGGGGCAGGGAACCACCCCCACCATCCCAGAGAGAAGCTGCACTAACGGCCCTCCCACCACCACTGCCATGTGTGTCCTTGGGAAGCACTCAGCACAATGTCTGGCTTGGAGCAAGGCTCACTCAAGTTTCCTCTTATGACTTAATTTAAAAAGCCCCCTGAGGGCTCTGTGTGGAGCTAAGGTGGAGGGTGCAGCAGAGGGAGAGAACAGGTGCTCCTCTATCAGTCTGTCAGGCAGGGGCTAAGGGGAGGGGCCTGGAGGAAAGCCAAGGACTTGGAGGCGTGGACTCTGGGCTCCGTGGCAGCTAAGAAGCCAAAGAAAACAGGGACCAAAGAAACCCTGTTATTGTTCCTCCTCTGTGCACTGTTTCCTGCTGGGGCAGCTCCTCCCCCACATCTCTCCTCTTAAGGTAGGAGGTCTCTGTCTCCTTTCAGCCATGGGTCCTTGGGCCCTGCTCCTGGCAGAGCATGGCAGCTATACACAGATTTTCTTCTGGACTTGGGGTTCAGGACTTGTCGTGGGCTTGGTCCAGACTGGAACAATGACCCTGATGACTCCACAGGCCTTTGAGGGGGGAGGGGCAGGACCCTTGGCTGTTGAACTTGCTAGCCTCCAGTCTGCACTCTTCCACCTTCTTTCTCATCTCTCTGCAGGCATGTCTTTGTGAATCCACAGGTCTCAAACTCCATTGTCTTGGAGTGGAAAGGACATGGCAATGTTCACAGGAGGCTGGACCACCAGGAGAAGCTCCTGGTTAAGGACCTACTTCCCATCTTTTACAACCAGCCAAGGTCTTCAGCCTTGACTATGTGATTTAATTCTGAGCTACCTGTGAGGAAACCCACACTCAGAGGTTGCTGCCTTACGCAGCCAGGGTCATGGGTCACACCGTGACCTGAGAGGGGAACTGCTGGGTCACCGGGAATGGGCCTGGTGTAGCTCAAGAAGGAGACCCGATCTGTCAAGGTAGCTCAGAGGAGGGCAGCTGGTTATGTTTCCTAGGCCTATGCTTGAGGTCCTTCCATCTCTCTAACAACCAGGGTCACTCTGTCTCTAGGTTGTCACAAAAACTATTGGAGTTCCTATGTCCTGGAATTGTCTTTTCTCTGAGCACTTGGGCCCTGCTCTGCTAGCGCTAGAGGAATGCTTCCCTGGGACCTCTCTGGACTGGGAGATGGGTGTCTCCATTTGTGGCAGGAAAGTTAGAATCTCTCAGGAGGGCTCCTTCCCTCCTTTCTGATTTAGGGACCCCTGTATTCCCTGGGAGCAGTTGAGGGCTGGGGTAGAAATGGTAGGGGAATTGGCAGCAGGTAAAGCCCCCAGGGCTCCACATATCCCCAGTGTTAGGAAAATCATTCATTCATTCCACAAAGACTTATTGGGCACTTACTGTGTGCACTGTTCTAGGCACTGGGTATATAGTCATGAGCTAGCAGACATCTCTGCCTTGTGGAATTAATATTCTAGTGAAAGGAGACAGACAGTAAACAATGGACATATGTAAATTATATAATACCATAGAATCTGGTAAGTGCTGTGGAAAAATAGGATATGTGTTAGGATAGGAGTGGAGGTTCTTTGAAATTTTAAATGGGGTATCAGTGTAGGTCTGAGAAGTTGACATTTGAACAAGGACTTGAAAAAGGAGAGAACCATGCATATATCTGGGCGAAGAACATTCCAGGCAGAGGGAGCTACCAGTGTTGCTGGAGCAGAGGGAGCAAGGGAGAGCATAAGGAGATGAAGATAGAGGTGGTAGAGGTGGGCAGACCTGTGTGTCACCAAAAGGACTACAGGCTTCACTGGAGAGATGGAGGAAGTCGCTGAGCCAAGGACTGGCGTGGTCTGACAATAATTTTAATGCAACCCCTCTGCTGCTGTGTTGAGAAGAGATCAGAGGAGCAAGAATGGAGGCAGGGAGACTGGTAGTCACCTATCCTGAGAGAGATGATGGTGGTCTAGACCTGAGGCGGGGGGTACTGAAGGTGAGGGTGATTGGAGTCTGAATCCCTGGTGAAGGTAGAACTGACAGGATTCCCTGATAGAGCTCACGTGGTGTGTGAGTATGAGGATTCAAGGATGCTGAGCTTTTTGGCCTGAGCAGCTGGAAAGATGGAGTTGCTATCAGTTGAAATGAAAGGACTGTGGGAAGAGCAGTCTTGGGGAGAAGAGCAGGTGGTCAGTTTTGGGCATGTTGAGTATTAGGTGTTGTTCTAGACCCTGGAGGTCCCTACATTGATTTCCCAACGTGGTGCTACAGCAGCACGAGGGGACCAGAAGGGTCTGTTCTTTGCTCTGTCTGCAGGCTACACAGACTGCCTATGTCTTGGTGCCCTGTCTTAGATGCCACCTGGGTGACAAAGCCTGCATTGCCCATCTGGCCAGATTGGCAGTAGGAATTTGCTACCAATTAGTTGAGCATTGATTGAAATCTCCTCTGCACCATTCTTCACAGCAGCTCTGGGGAGCTCAGGACATGCCAGAGACCCCAATCTGTCTTCTGGCACTTTGGACTGCATTGACCATTTCTAAGTTGTGGCAGAAACAGCACTTATTGGCAAATGAGCATTTATTGAGCTTACTATATGCAGAGCACTGTGCTAGAACAAGGCAGATTAAGGAAGACAGTCAGGAGACTGCCATCCAAGAACTGGAAGGAGCCCTGTCCCCAGTGGGCGTACAGTCTAGCTGGGAGGCATTGCATATATACAGAATCATACCTTCAAGATACAAAACAACATCAAAGCGACATTTGCAGGTACAAAGTCATCTGGCACAAAGTGGGAATGTGGAAATGGATGCTGCTGGGACCCAGTGGTCAGCTACCTCCTCCCCTCAGCTCAGAGCCTTCTCTGTCCCCAGCTTGGCGACCTGGAGGCCTATCCAACTGCCTTTATACTGCCTGGCCTCTGTCTAGTTTGGGTTGTGTCTGATCTCCATCCTCTTCCAGTCTGGGTGCTCTTCAAGGGCAGAAACCAGCCCCACATTCTTTGTCATTTTCTCCTTGTCCTGCTGCAGCCCTCCCCAAGGCCCTGTGTCCACAAGTCAGTGGGCTGGACAGACTCAGCTGTGGGCTCTGGTTTCTGCCAGGGGCTTCCAGGAGGGGCCTAGGACTTGCCTCAGACCAGAATGGTCTCCTTTGACTTCTGAGTGGAAAGATAAAGGGGTTTTGAATAAAAAGGCCTAAGTTCTAGTCTTGGCTCCACTACATAGAGCTGTGTGACTTTGGACCAGTCTCTGAGTTTCAGTTCATTAATCTAAGAAAGGGGAAGAACCGTACAGTCATGTGCCACTTAACAATGGGGGTATGTTCTGAGAAATACATCGTTAGGTGATTTCGTCATTGTGCGAACATCATAGACTGCACCTACAGAAACACAGATGGTATAGCCCACTACTGTAATTGTATGCACTATACTTTTATACCATGGGCAGCAGGTTGGTTTATTTACATCAGCATCACCACAAACATGTAATTTGTTGTGCTATGATGTTACCATGTTATGACTACGATGTCACTAGAAGGAATTTTCAACTCCATCATAATCTTATGGGACCACCGTCGTATATGCTGTCAGTCATCAACCTAAATGTCATTATGTGGCCCATGACTGTATTTGCTCTGCTTATCTCACAAGACTGGGATAAGGGAGTACTTTAGAAATAATAAAACCCTGCATAGCTGGGGGCCATTGTCCTTCCCTAACCTGCCTGAAGTTTTAGAAGGATTAAATGAGCTAATGCACGGAAAGTACACAGCCCAGAGGCTGGGACACAAGAGATGCTCAGTAGGTATCAGTTCCTCTCCACCTCCATTACTTTGAATCCTGCTTTGACCTCTGACCTTAGTGACCCCAATCTGAGCTGGAAGTGGTAGGGATCTCCTATTTAGTTTTGGGGAGATGAAATCCAGGAAGTGAAATAGACATAGAGAGAAATTCTTGGCAACTTCTAGAGGGATCTGTTGGGGTGAGGTGGGGTGGGGCTGAGGTGCCTGAGATACATCCAGGCTTGGTTCACAGCTCAGTGCCTTGCTGTCTTTGAACTTCTAGAGCAAGGACACTCAGCTATTTGGAGTACAGCCCGGGAGGTCACTTTGGTCTCTGACTCGACCCCTCCCCCAGTAGGGAGGCCAGGTGGCTGTTATCAGCTCTCTGGGGTTTTGGGAGAATCATCTCCATAGCATCTATGGCCCAGGGCAGCCTTTTTCTGATCCCAAAGGGAGCCTTAGTTAAGGAAGACAAAAAAGACATTGATGCAAAGGTGGGCATGATTACAGGGATGTTCCTTATACTCAGTCCATCTCTGAAGGGAGTGGAGGGCAGTAAGGAGCTGGAGACTACAGTGCACAGTGAGTGTTTGGTGCGGTGTGGGACAGACACAGATAAAAGCCTTGAAAGCATAGAGGCAACAGAGAGCATGGAGAAGGGGGCTCAAGGTGTGATTCTTAGGTTAGCTATGCTACAGGCTGGAGAGAAAAAAGAGAATGGATGCTCTGGGTAGTGGGAGGAAAGAAAGGAGAGAACAGCCAGGGTGCATTCAGGCCTGGAAAGGTTCAGAGGCTGGACCAGGGCGGGGCCAACCCCAAGCCCATCTCTTCTGCCTGCACCTTAGGGTTCCCAGGGCTCTCCTTTGCTTTGACCACCAATTAAAGGAGGTAAAAGAGGCCAAGGGTCAGGCCCCTTCTGAGTTCTCGCCCCAGGAAGCAGAAATAATGAAATCATTTCAATAATGCATGATAATGATATGAGGAATTACATTCACACAGCATCTTTACACGGCATCATCTCACGTAGTCCCAGTTAATCTCATTTGAGAACTAATGCACTGGCCTGGAAATTTAGAAGCCCAGGCTCTAGAACACAGACATGCCTCCTGCCTGGACAAGTCATTTCCCTTCTCTGGTCCTGGGAGTGGTAGGCTGCTCTCTCCACAATAATTGTCCTGTGGTGGGGGCCGGAAGGGAGGCAGCACTGGGACTGAGTCCTCGAGGAGGGAGGGAGGGGAGAGGAGAAAGTCCTGGGGAGGAAGAGCTGCTGCCTGGGGAGGGGGGCCTGCGATGGGATGGGTGATGGAAGGGTGTTGCCTGGTGCTTGTGGTTGCGTGCCTAAGTACCTTGCCCAGCCAGCCATAGGTGTGTGCGGGATGAGAGGGCTCACTTTCGAAACCGAGTGTCTCCTTTCAAGAAGTGTCTAATTGCAAATCCCCCCCACCAAGACAAAGCCAGGGGCCCCAAAAGGGCTTTTGTTTTCTCTGTCACAGTGGGAGGCTAATCTCTAGGTCTGGAGGCGCCCCGCTCGGAGATGGGGGTTCCAAGGCACACGTTGGTATGCACTCACACATGCCTGCTTCCTCTTTTGGAGATATCCTCCCTCAGGGCAGAAAGGAGGCCCTTTCTTCCAGAGGCCACTTCTGGGGGAGCCATTCTCTGGTTGATACCTCTCCGCCTCCAGCAATAGGTCCTGACAAGTCTTGGGGCCCAGCGTTTCAGCTTGAGGGAATTTTCCAGGAGAGGCAGAGTAAGGGAAATCAGAGCCCTCTCTCAGCCCTCTCAAAGTGGCCTCCAGACCCTCCCTTACCTTCTCCTGGGGAGTATGCTTTTAGAGCTCCTGGGGATGACGGCTGGCTGCAGAGGAAGTGGATTTATTGCGGTGGGGGAGGAGAGGGTCAAGGATGGCAGCAGGTCACCAGCCAGTGCTCACTTGCACCACAACAGGCACACCTGCTCGACCTTAGGAGCATGCACAATCCTGCATTTGGGGACAGAGAGGCACTCCAGGATGAACACACACTTGCATACTAGCAAAACCCCATGTCCAGAACCCCTAAGGTGGGGTCTGTATACTTTGACCCTCCCACCCCACTCAGTGGGGGTGAAGAGGGGGAACAGGCTCTCCAGAACCTTCTTCTGACTGCTCACTAGCTCTCCATCCCCAGCTCGGTCCCCAAGTCCCCAGATTGCTGCAAGGGGCCAAAGGGTCGACGCTTCACCCGTCAGCAGCCTCTGGACAGGGGTCTGCCATGCTCACCGCTAGCCCCGCAGCCCTGGTAAGGCCGTGCCCTCCTGGAAACAGCTACTCTGCATTGGGGGCCAAGTTCGGACCAGGGGAAAAAGAGAGGCGGATGGGCCCTTCTACCTCAGGCCGGGGCCGGCGGGGGTGGCGGGTGCCCCGAAGCCCGGGTGCGACCTGGGCCCGCAGGCGGCCGCTTGGAGCTCCCCCGAGCCTGGGGCCGGGCCCGGGGCGCTCAAGCCTTGCTGCCCCGCGGGAGGCTCTGCGGCGAGTGCAGCTCCACCGACTGCCGCCGCCGCACCTCGCGCTCCTCCCAGTCCGTGTCCGGCTCTAGCCCCTTCAGCACCGCCAGGCGCTCCGACAGGCTCTTGTTGGGCGGGAAGAGGACGTAGTTGTAGAGGAGGGAGCCCAAGATGGCGCCGACCAGGGGTCCGATCCAGAAGACCTGCGGAGAGGAGGGCGGCTCGCAAGGCGCGCGGGGCCGGGACGGCGGAGTTTTGGGGGGCGGGGTGGGGTGCCCGGGCGGGAGGACGGCGCCGCCGGTGCCGCTACTTCCCGCGCGCGGCTGGGCCCGGGCACCTGCTCCTCTCCCCGCCTATGTTGGGAAACGGGCCTCCCACGCGATCCAAGTTTATATAGAACATGCGTATCATGTAATTAGTGAGGACAACACGGATCTGTTGGGGAGACTTGTTAGTTGAGGGTTAAGGGTGCGAATTCCTACCTAAGCGGACTGCCAAGGTAGACTTAGTTACTTACCCTCTCGGTGCCTTTGTTTCCTTTCATTATAATGCTTACCTCCTAGGTTGTTGTGAAAACTAAATGAGTTAATACTGGGGGTGCAAAAAAAAATGTATACACATGACGTATTCATCTGTGGTTATCGGTATATATTGAGTATTACAATTTTAATACAGTTTTTTTTCCTTTCTTAAAATGTGTATACAAATTTTTTTTTTTGGCACCCTCTGTATTCGCAAATCACTTAGAATAAGGCCTGGCACATACTAAACACTAGATAAGTGTTAAGTAATAAAAACATGGAATTGTTAACTGGTGTAAATATTACTGTTTCTCGAGCTCTAAGGCACTGAGTGATGTTTTACACCAGTAACCTCACTTAAGTCTTCCAAAAAGCCAGTGAGGCCAGAACTGAGATTATCCTCACAGATATGGAAACGGAGTCTTCAGCATCAGACCTGTTGGGTGGAACCTAGGGCTCCCTAGGGCCCCAGGAGGAGTGTGGAGGGTTTGCTGAGCCCCAACCCCACTGTATTCCAGCCCTTGCTGAGATGGGTTTCTGGGGGATGGGAAAGCAGGGAGGTTTCAGCCATTACCCAGTGATCATCAAATATGCCAGTGACAACAGCTGGAGCCAGAGAGCGGGCAGGATTCATGGAGCAGCCGGTGAAGTGGATCTACAATGGAAGATGGGGGTCAGAGAGAGGAGGGAGGTGAATACTGGGCAGGGAGTCCTTGCAACCCTCTCTAGTGCTTTACCTCAACCTAAAGGATGTCCATTCCACGGACAATTAAGTTCATGTTATATTTACAAGGTTCTATATCCATTTGAGGCTGGAGTGATATGTGTCTCTTTGAGGTATCTGACAGTCAAGCCCTCTGGGGTGTGTCTGTCCCTCTTAGGAGTTCTGTGTATCTGTCCCCCTGGGGGTCTTTGTGTCTATCACTTTTGGGCATTCTGTGTATCTGTCTCTAGCGTGGTCTGTGTGTCTGTTTCTTTGGGGGAAAGTCTGTGTATCTGCCCCTCCAGAGAGGCTGGAGCCAGTGGCCGTGACCTACCCCAAGGAGGTGGCCTAGGGCCACAGAGAAGCCAATGGAAAGCGCGGGGGTGCCCAGGTTATCTCCACGGCGCTCATCAGTGGAGGCAAAGATGCAGAGAACCAGCTGCAAGGTCAGGAAAAGCTCCACAGTGACGGCCTGGCCAGCTGTCGCATTGTTGCTGAGCTGGAGACAGAGGAGGATAGGTGGGAAAACTGAGTATGCTCCCCACACTGGCTCCATCTTCCTGCAGCCAAAGCTCCAGAGAGGCTTCCAGGCTGGGAGCCAGAACACCTGGGCTCATCAGCCACCTTAGCCCAAATTAATGACGGCTTCTTCCTGGGCCGTGGCCCCAAGGCAGAGGGACGGACCCCAAGATTGCCCATGGTTCCCCAGCCAGAGGTAGGAAAACTGACTCCACAGCCCATTAGATTTGGGGACGGGAGTTGTGTGTCTACAATGTGAGAGGAAAAGGATGCTGAGTCCAGAATTTCTTTTTCCTGGAGAACAAGAAGGGAAGAACTTTTGAATACAATAGGAAGCTTTAGGCCAGGTAAGAGGAAGGTCTTCCTCTCCCCCATAAGACCATAAGGTATAACAAGAGGCCTGTTGTCTTTCTTCTTGTGGTGAAAGGGCTCCCAGGGACAGGGTCTAGGAACTTGTGTCTGAGGATGGTCCTAGTACCCCATTCCCCCAAAAGTCTAGCATATGACTCTTTTCCTCTAACCTTTGCCTATTTCCCTTGACTTTGCCTGTTCCCCACTGCATTTCAGGCCTCAATTTTGCCCTGTGATTTGTTCCCTGCACATCCTGTAGAGGTTGGGGTGGGGGTGCTGGAGCCCTATATTGAGACGCCTCCACACCCAGGTGGGGTGCTCAAGGTCCTGGCAGACCCTGCCTTGGTAACCAGAGAACCTGGAGCCAAGCAAAGAGATAATTTCATTACTGGACTGCACCCAGCACTGTATTTCTCTCTGGGTTTTGTCATCCTGTGCCTTATACCCTGCCTTCTGGGGCTGGGCACTGCACTGGGTGGAGCTCTGACAGCTCTCACCTCCCATGCTTCTTCTCCAGGCCTTGAACCCCCGCCTCTGGGTCCTAGCCTTTGGGCTGTCACCTTTGGGTCTCTCTAGGGTCTAACTTCAATCCCCTGTGATCCAATGTCACAGCCTCTAGTGGGGGACAGTGAAAAGAGCTTTGAAGGCAGACACTTTGGAGGCCTCTGACTTATCATGGGACCCTATTTACTTCAGTCTTAGTTTGTTCTTCTGTAAAATGGGGATAACAAAACAATTCTGGAGGACTGTGTGAGGACTAGAATTGACAAGGGCAGGAACCTCAGCACCATTCCCACTGGTAAATGGCTGCTCTGAGGAGACAGTGCAGACATGGGTTTGGTGTCAGGCAGCTTTGGATCCATTTCAGCCCAAGGTGCTGGCACTTACTGGTTGTGTGATTTGAGTCAGTTGAAAACTGAGCCTCAATTTATCACTCAGGGTGAAGGGATCACAGAATTCACCTTGCAGTATTATACCAAGAATGAGATGATACCTGGCCTGTCACAGAGCAGCTGCACATCAATGGTAACAGCCTGGTGGCCAGGTTGGCCTTTCTAGGGGCCTCAGAAAACACCTGGGACAACACTGAGGTCATCTGGCCTCTAGCCTCAGGGTAAGTCAGCCCCACTGCTGCCCCCTTCCAGCCAGGCAGGGTTCTCCCCAGTTCCTCAAGATAGTAAACGCTGAGCAATAACTTGAGGGAACTTTTCCTGACCCTTCCATTCTGAGGATCCCAGTTAACGGCGAGATGATAGAGGAACAGTACTAAGTGTCCCCATGTCCCCTTAGCAATCCCATTGCCGTACTATTAGAGAAGGTTTTCCAGCCACACGAACGTTATTGGCCATGCTCTCAGTAAGTTTCTCTTTCAGTCTAACTTCACCTCTCCTTGCTGCCAACAGAACTAATTTCGTTCTCAATGGTAATAAATGGTCACGCTCCTCAGTCTGTCCCCGGCCATGGTCACTCTAATTGTTTCTCAGCCCTGAGTCCCCAGCCTCATCAAATTTTCCATGTTGAAGAAGAGAGAAGTTCCCCAGTTGGGATACCTCTGCCCTTCACATGAGGAAGGGCCACCCTGCAGAGGATGGGGTGGCCGTAGAGACTGTGCGGGATTCTTCAGGGACATCAGAGCTCTTAATCCAGTGGCCCAGGAACAAAGCAGGCCAAGAAATGCAGGAGACTGAGGCACGAAAGAGGCACAGGGGGTGGAGTGAGAGCTGTGCTGAAGGGGCACAGACCATCCCTCCCCATCCACGCCCTTGTATATCCAGGCCTTGCACAGACCCAAGAGGAGGCGCAGAGGGGGAGGGCTGTGGCATCTGCCCCGTTAGCCACTGTTCATGAAATCAGCAGTTAGCTCATGGGCTCCAGGGACTGGCGAGACCTTGCCCCTTCAGCTTTCCCCTGGGTTCTGGTGCTTTCTCTGGTATTGACAAACTGTAGAACTTTGAGCCTATTCTTCCCTTCCGGAGCCTCAGTTTCCTTGTTTGCAAAACAAGGCTTACATTATGGCTCAGGGAAGGGACATTGGTCAGGTGGAAAGACCATGGGTTTTGCAGTCAAGCATGGGTTTGAAGTCTGGCTCTGGCACTTTCCCTCTCTGAGCCTCAGTTTCCAAATCCTTAAGAAAAGATATATCCATCTCAACCTCGCAGGGCTGTTGCAAGGTGTCAATACGAGGCTCATGAGGAACCTCTGCACACAGCAGATGCTGAAGAAATGTTGGGTCCTTCTTCCCTCTAGAAGACCCTCGGGACTCGCACTCTGAGGTTCCTCCCAGCTCAGAAAGTATGTCTGCTTTGGGACCCTATCCTTTGCCGAGTTCTAGCCCGGTCCTTACTGTAATGCAGGCATCAAGTCCGACAGAAACCTTGATGCTGCTCTTCCTCCATGAGCTCAGGGCAAAAGGTACCAGCAGACCTGTGTGTGTCCTGCTTTTGCTCTGCATTGTTGCTTCTTCTATCCTGATTGTCCTGTGGCGGCTGTGTTCCTGACTCCAGCATCTCTACCTGCCTCCCACCCCCTCCCCCGTCTCTCTCTCCCCAGCCAGACCATCACCCAAATCTGTTCCCTTCCATCTCATCCTCTCCAAGGGACTCCCCAAGACCTGCCCCTTATGGAAGGGACAAAGTTCCCGCTACTCACTGCATTGATAGCCAGGTTCCCTCGGATGGCTGGTGGTGTAATCTCATGGAGCAGGGCAGCCCCTGCCACAGCTCCCAGCAGCTGGGCAGCTACATAGAAGGCAGCTCGGAGAAAGGAGACATGGCAGCCCACCAGGCAGGCTACAGTCACGGCAGGGTTTATGTGGGCCCCGCTGATGTGGCCCAGAGCCTGCACCAGGGTGCCAATAGCCAAGCCAAAGGCCATGGCGATCGACAGCACAGAGGGCAAGCCATGTGACCAATTGAGGGCGGATCCCAGGCCAAAGAAGACGAAGAGGAGTGTGGCGAGGAACTCTGCAAACACAGCCCTGGAGAAGGCTATGGACCGGAGTTCCCACATGCTGTGGAGACTTCTGTGGGCTGGCCCAGCAGCCTCAAGGGCAGGAGTCTTGTGGCTGTCCCCTTCCCTCTCTCCCTCAATGTCTCTAGGGCGGCCGGGCCATGGGCATTTATAGGGTCCTTCCATCCTAGATTTGGACACGTGGGGCAGAGGTGGAGTTTGGGCCAATCCTCCTTTGCTCTATGGCTGCTCCCTACCCCCACTCCCCACCCCTGCCCACCACATGCCTATCACCCCATCTTGGCCTTCACAGCTGACTAATGTTCCCCATTAATGAGCTCCAGATAAGGACTGACGTCCCCTCTTTTTCCGTGTTTGTTCCCTTGGTTACCCCAGGGCTGTTGCCCCAGGGCCTCCCCCTGCCCCCATCTACTCTGTGAATAGGGATTCTTTAGAGCATTATGCCAAACTCCTTCTCTCTGGCTCAAACTGCTGGCCAAGGCAGGGGCAACACTTTACCCAAAACTGACCATGAGAGAGGATGTCAATGCTACCCTTTCTAGTGACTTGGAAGTTCTTCCTGTTATCTGACCTCCAACTATTCCTTCTTGAAGGGGATGGAAAACAACTGGTTGGCTTGTGACGCAAACCTTCCAAAGCATAAAGGCTTTGTGTCGCTTCTGTGCTTGCTTTCTTGCAGTCAATCACCCATAAATCATTATTAAGCTTCACCTCCTCCCTGGAACCCCAACCAAATAGCAGCTCCCATAGCCTGGGGGCAGGGGGGTGGTTTTCGTGGCATCGGGACCCTGGCCCTGGGGGATGGAGTCAACCCTGGGTCGGCTGAGCAAGCTGTGGGCTTCCATTCTGGCATCACCCCGTCTATCTCTGTGAATCCTTTCTTGTCTGTCTCTGTAAAAAGGGAATAATAAACGTACCTTATTGGATTTGGGTTTGGATTAAGTGAAATAACATGTATATAAGGTGCTCAGAGCAGCACCTGGCCCACACTAAGCCATCAATATCAGCTATTATTAATAGTATTATTTATACTCTGAGGGGGAGAAAGGTCTCCCCGAACTCACATATTAGGGTTCCAGAAGCTGTGACAGGCTCTAGGCACCCCCTGGAGCTCAGAGCCAAGCAGGACTCTGAGGGAGGACATTTCTATGGGGCAGTGAGCTGTGCAGGATAGGGGAGGCTGCAATGCTCAATAATGACTCTCCAGCCGTGGGGCCCGCTCATCCCAGCATTGGGCAACGTCACCTCCTGCCATCAGTGCTGCTCTGGCCCAGGGTCTAGGAGACGCCCCCCATGCCCTGCTCTTCCTTAATCCCTGCAGCCCTACTCCCTCCCCTGGGGATGAAAACATAGGGCCAGGCTCAGAGTGTGGTCAGGAGAGCTGGCTCCTGGACCCTGCTCTATCTCCTGGCCAGCAGGTCCCCAGAAATAGAAATCTGAACGGAATTGGAGGCTGTAGCATGGAGCCCCTTGTGTTGTATCATGGGAGGACATTGAGGCCCAGGAAGAGCAAGTGACTCATCCAAGGTAGTCCCAAAAGCTAGTGGCTGAGCTGGGACTGGAACCTGATCTGAAGCATTCCACCACACCCTACACTGCCAAGTCACACTCTGGGCCTCAGTTTCCTTGTCCGGACAATGGGAGTAATGATGCCCACCCCATGATGTTTTGAGGATGGAGTAAGATAATGAAAGGGAAAGTGTTTTGCAATTGAGAATGATCATCCAAATATATATCGGGACTTGTGAACCCTGCAAGTGAGGAGGAAGAGGAAGAGAAGTAAGAGGGGAAGGAAGAAAGAAGAAAATGACCCAAACAGCATGAAGCTCCAAAAAAGCAGGGATTCTTGTAGGGTTTGTTTTCTGATGTATTTCCAGTGCCTAGAACAGTGCCTGACACACAGGTAGATGCTCAACTATCTCCTAAATGAAGATCACTTCTGTCCACCCCTGCCTCCTGCAAGAGGCTTAGATGAATCCAGATGGACTGAGGTCTGGGGAGGGCATGAACTCCACTTTGCCCATGCCCAACTGCCCACTCTGAGTCTGGCACCCAGTAGATTTCTGATGACTTCAGCCAAAGCTCCTTCCTGGACCTGCCAGCTCCCCTCTCATTTTCCATGGCATAGCTCTTACTGGCACCCTGGTTCTCTGCCCTGAGCCATACCTCCCTGACCTTAGGCATTCCAAACGCTGTAGAAAGACATTCAGAGGGAGGGAGCGATTTAGACCTGCCCATTTTCTGGTCTGGGCTCAAGTCTGGGAGGCAGGGAGGGCGCCAACCATGACCGGGCTCCTACTCTTTGCCTTAGAGCCAGGGAGAAAGAGGGTGTTCCTGTCAAAGCCACGGGGTTCGAGCCCTGCTTCCTGGGGAGCAGTTGGAGCTCCCCTGGGGAGGGCTGCATTTTGTCTCTAGTGTCTTTATGAGGTCCAAGTTTCCATTAATTGTACAATGCACTACTAATCAGAGTACGACAAAAATGCTTTCTTGGAGATGTATGGCAGTGACGGTTGCACAACAATGTGAATATACTTAATACCACTGAACTGTGTGCTTAAAAGTGGTTAGGATAGGGCCGGCTGAGGGGCTTAGCTGGTTAAGAGCTCATTTGGGAGCACCAGCTCTGAGCAGCAGGGCCCCGGTTCGGATCCCACATTGAGGGCCAGTAACACTCGCCCTCTACAGCTAAGATGATGAACAACAGCTTGACCTGGAGCTGGGCTGCTGTGAGTTGCCGGCGACGGGCGTAGGCTGCAGCGGGGCTGCAGTGGGCTGCCGTGAGCTATGTGAGTAGCTGGCAGCCAGCGTGAGCGGCTGGCAGCCGGTGTGAGCTGCCAGGAGCCGCTGTGAGTGGCCGACCAATGACCAGCGACCGATTGCCTAACCTGGGAAGAGCACAATGATAATACCAACATGGGCCAGTGAAGCAACGTCCTCCACAACTAGACTAAAGAACAAAAACAGCAATTTGTCTACCTGTCTGTTCCCCTCCCCCCAATTCCCCAATAAAAAAAAATCTTAAAAAAAAACGGTTAGGATAATAAGTTTTATGTTATATGTACTTTACCACAATTAAAAATAATTTTTAAAAATGAGTAAAGGAAAATGATCTGAAAATGGTTTCTTACTAATTTTTATTTTGTACTTATTGGAAGAAGTGTTTTAGGTTTATGTAGATACCAGTTTTTAAGTCAAAATCACTCTTGTGAATGCGTAAAAAAGGAAATTGTAGGCAAAACAAATTGGCTAAAGTACAGTTGACCCTAGAACATCACGGGTTTGAACTGCACAGGTCCACTTACACGTGCATTCTTTTCAAAAAATACTGTAAATGGATTTTCTCTTCCTTATAATTTTCTTAACATTTTCTTTCTCTACGTTCCTTTATTATAAGAATACAGTATATAGTGCATATAACATCAGAATATGTGTTAACTGACTATTTCTGTTATTGGGAAGGCTTCAGGTCAACAGTAGGCTATTACTAAGTTGTTTTTTTTTTTTTAAGACTTTTATTGGGGATTTTGGGGGATGGGAACAGCGCTGGGGAATTGGGGGAAGGGGAACAGACAAGTTGCTGTTGTTTTTTGTTCTTCAGTCTAGTTGTGGAGGATGTTGCTTCACTGGCCCAAGTTGGCACCATCATTGCGCTCTTCCCTGGTGAGGCACATCAGTCGCCGGCTTCTGGACGGCCGCTCACTGCGGCTGCTGGCCGCTCACACTGGCTGCTGGCTACACACGGTAGCCCATGGCAACCCACTGCCACAGGGGCTGCAGCCTACGCCGTGGCCGGCGACTCACGGCAGCCCAGCTCCAGGTTGAGCTGTTGTTCAGCATCTTAGCTGCAGAGGGCAGTGTCACTAGCCCTCATATGTGGGATCCGAACCGGGGCCTCTGGTGTCCCAAGCCAGTTCTTAACCATCGCGCCACTCGGCTGGCCCTATTATTAAGTTTTGAGGGAGTCAAAGATATATGTGGATTTTAGGAGTGCAGGGAGTTCACACTCCTAACCCCGCATTGTTCAAGGGTCAACTGCAGTTAAAATTTCTTCACACTCAGAGTCCAACTTTCCTAAATCCCTTTTTGACTCAGAGTCCCCAATGTTTTTTTACACAGTATCACTCTGTGCCATCAGGACTGTAGTGAGGCACCATTTATTACAAGATTATCCACTGTTGTTTCCAGAATTTCTTTCCAAGCCTCAGATACTCATTCTACAGACTTTATTGCATGTGTTTTCTTGCTTCACATGTGACTGGCAATCATGTTGCCCTTTTCTCAATAATAAAATATACCACAGTTTCATCTACTTGTGGGGCTCTTCCGTTCTTAGGTTTCATAAAACACTTGGGTGTTATTTTGCAAGAAAATATGGAATTGTTCTTCAGTGGTAACTATTTGCTTCACTAATATCAAATTCTTGCTGTGCTTCTCTGTTTCCCCACCTTTGTGTATACACAATAACTCTGTTTAACTGCTAAACCACAGTGTAACCTTTTGGAAGACATTTAAATAGCAATTAAATGGAACAGATGCAGGAATGAGAAGGCATGGGACTCACCTGACCAAGTTTAAGTATGCACAGGTAGTGACAATCACTCCCAGCTGCTCTAAGACACCATGATTCAGCTTCAGCTTCAGGTGTACAGCGCTGGTCAGGCATCTATCTACACAGTCCATGCAGTGGTCTCCCTAATAAGACAAGTACCCATCTGACACCCTACAAAATCTTTACAGCATTATTGATTATAATCCCCAAACTGAACTAATAAAAAATAAAAATAAATAAAAGGATAGGGAAATAGAATAAAAGACCAACACAAGGATGTGTTATGGAGTTGGCCATCATTGTGGGCTACCAGTTACTGGATGCCCCAGAACCCCTCTGGACATCTACCAATGTGCATCTCAGAACCATCCACCAGGAAAATAAAGGGGCGGGGCATTTTTCTGCCTCCCGTTGCTTAAAAAAAAAAAAAAAGACACCACGATTGTAAGAGACTTTGAAAAGAGAAAAAATGGGTGCATCTTAAATTGATGAAATATAGCAGTTAAACATGAAACATGTATTTAGTGCTCACTCTGTCATGCACTGCTAGACATTCCTACATGTATTAACTCTCTTAATCTTCACAGC